TGCATATTCAGAATTAGAAACTGTTACCACTTCAAACTGGGATGTTATTCTTTCCTCTTTATCCTTATAAAAACAAAATATGTGAAGATGTGACATGTGAGAAGAAATTCCTCAAATGCAGACAAGGACTATGCTGTGTCAGAGTGTGATGGCAGATTGATCTCACACACACATTCAGAAATAAAGACATCTATCCGACACAAACACTGACACGCAACCATCCACCTCCTCCCCTTTTCACACACTCACACTCAGGTCAAACTTGGTCAGTATACCCTCACATTCCCGGACAAACTGTGAGTGTGAGTGAACACTGAGTGCGTCACTGTGTGTGTGTGTGTGTGTGTGTATGTGTGTGTGTGTGTGTGCGCGTGCGACAGACACAGACAGAGGTCATTCAGTGCGGAGAAGTGATGACTGGGCAGCTGACACAGGAAAGAAAGAGGCAGATAGAAGGAGAAATAAAGAGTGGGAGAGATGTAGGTCACTTCCCAATTGTCAGTGAGTCATTGCTCTGGATCACACCCAAACACACACACACACACTGATGCACTATCCTGCAGCCAGTGCTTACATGTCCCTGGAGCAGTCCCTGAATTTGTGTGCGTGCCAACATCTGTGTACAGCCTTTGACCTTTGAACCTGTTTGACACTCTTCATTCCAGTCACACACACACACACGCACGCATGCACGCACACACACAGACACACAGACACACAGACACAGACACAGACACACAGACACAGACACAGACACACAGACACAGACACAGACACACAGACACAGACACAGACACACAGACACAGACACAGACACACAGACACAGACACAGACACACAGACACAGACACAGACACACACACACACACACACACACAGTGCCTCTCTTTCCCTCTGTTTCTCACCAGCTGACCAGAGTCCACTTTATTTCTTCTCCCTTTATAACTTAAACTTGTCTAAGGGCTGTGTCACGGTGACATCACGATATCATCACCCTTAGGTCACTCTCTCTAGCATGTGACACTGGGGTGGAGCGGCACTCCAAACCCACAGCAGGACGGTCCTTTGCATGTTTATTAGGGGTTGGATAATTATCACCCTGGCCAATAATCAGATCCAATATTCATAATTTTTCACATTATCATAATTGTTATTTTATCTGATCAGGTTATCAATTAAATAAGTAACAAATAAAATGTATGCTGCTTTGGCTCTGATGCAGCCGCCGCTCTGGGAAAGGTTACTACTTGTACTGTGACTCAATGCCCCGCCCACTCCATCATCGGATTGGTTCTACATCTCATGTAAATAGCCAATCAACACTGAGCTCTGTTTGTGGGAGAGACGTGGAAAAGACCAACGCAGAGATGCATCACTGAGACCAACAGATAATTACGATCCATTTCTACGATGATAATACCCAGTTTCAGTTTTTTGGGCTAATGTTACTCCACTGAAAATGCCTGAACTTGTAATGTTTGGTTTGTTCATTTTCAATATTTTTTTCTGGCCAATAGAACAAAATGAAAATGTATTATTTTCAATAGACTGGTGTCTATAACCCATTGAAAAATACAAATAAACAGGAGTCATCACGCAAGGCGATGGTCCTTTTAACTACATGCAGAAGAAGCGACACCCCACATTTATAAATTCATGAGGTTATTATGAAGATCAGCTCTACGGGTGATAAAAAAAAAAAGAGAGCAGAGGAGCAGAATCGCTTGTTGACCGGCGGAGAAATGCACTTCTGGTGTGAGCAGCCAGGCTACTGCTCGCACGACATAGAGTCATACTGGCATTAAACCACAAAATGGAATAAACAGGGCTACCAGCTATTTACTGGTTTTTATTCAGAAATAGCAACTTGTCGACATGGTGTGGGGGTTAGTCTGCTGCGCGGTCTGTTAACTGTGAGACCCCCTTAAGATGGTACTGATGTCCCAGGATATTTCAACTGTTTAACTGTTAATACTAACAGCTGAACAGTTATAATATTAATCGGTAAAACAGTTAATTGGGAACAACCCTAGTTTGGTTGGTAGGATTACAAACAAGTGGTATCAGCCCTGAAAAATACATATAGCACACATAACCATATTAGCACAGTGATAGACGGGCAACTTCTCAGAGGTGTACCATGACTGTAGTGCAGTGAATGCTGGAAAAATAATGTACCGACTTCACCATTACTTTCATTTTGGCTTTAAAATCTTACTTTTTCTAAAATGGTCTGATGCAACCACTTTCCAGATGTGCTGGCTGAGAGATATCGTTATATCTGTGTCTCCAAGCAACAAGGTGTGAACAATGGCTCTGATGTAAACGAGGGATACAGTCCATAGCAGTGGGTGGTGGTACTGAGTCACTTCATAGTTTGCTCGCCACCTCAAAGTATAAAGAGAACAAAAAGGAAGATGACCAAAACAGACAGGTCAGAGAAAATGGAAGAGCTACTGCCAACTGGAGCATTGAGCGTTACAAGTAAGAAGAAAAGAGTAAGATAGGCAGATGGTCAACAGGCTAAAAACAGAAAGTGAACAATGAAGCAAGACGAGAAAAACCCTCGGTCCAACAGTAACATGACAGAAAGAAGCCAACAGCTGCTTCACTTGACTCTACTCTGCACTGGTTACTGTGTTGAAGTGGCAGTTTGAGATTTTGCTGTTTATGGATTAATGATTCAATATCCTTATTTTTATGAGGCTGAATGCTACGAAGTAAACTAACGTTAGTTTTATTCTAATGCTACATGATGAACACATCATTTAAATTCCATCATATGTTAATTAATATTACCATGAGATAAACATTACATGAAAATAAATTAACAAATTTAGTTAAACCTTTTGCTTTAACGACGATTATTTCCGCAGTCAAATGTCCGGCCTGCACAGAGAGCAGCTTCGCACACCACTTGAATCGGGCTGTGGGTTCCCAGGTTGTGGTGACAGATGGGCTGAAATTGTAGGCTATGTGTGTGTGTCTGCGTGTGGATTGTGTGTCTAGTTCGTGTTTTATACACAATCTGGCAACTTGGATAATGTCAGACAAACATAAAACGTGTGGTTGTATGACGAGTATTTATAATAAAGGTTGAGGGTCGTTCAGATTATGGGAGTTTCCCGGGAGAAACAACAAAACGGGAGGTCGCCGGGAGATTACCTTGAAATACAAGAGACTGCAGATGTATCCCAAATGCTTTCTTTTATTTATCAGCCCCTTTAATTACGTAATTCATTAGCACAGTTGCTCCTTGCTCCAGTTGCTAGCTTTCTATCGTAACTGTCAACATGCAACCTGGCTCACTGTCAACAGAGCTACCAGCCCTCAGACTGTATTCATAACTTAGCTGGTCATCAACACAGCTAAGTTACATACAAGCAGCCGTCAGACTGTATTTTCCAGGGCGTGTGAAGATGATGTGGATCGAAACATTAGCGGAACATATTCACATGTCGGGTAACTCACTAAACTGTGGCTTGAGTTGTCACCCCTGTCGATGGGAAGACCTTTCGTTGTCTCTAGTCACTCAGTCAGTGTACAGCTAGCTCGAGTGCCAGAACCCTTCACTGCCTGAATTCAGAGATCAACAGAATTTAATGCTCTAACATCACTGTAATCACCACTTCTGGCTGCAGAGGCTGCTGTTGCGACTGCTCAGCAAAGGTTACATAGTACTGCTTTAATCCTTGTACAGGATATTAAAACTGATCTTATTAGATAAATATACTGAAAGTAAATCAAGATTTTACCCATACTGTCTCACTTTACTACTTCATAATAAACTGATTAAATGTTTTGTCAATAAAATGTCAAAAAATAGTGAAAAGATACCACTGAAAAATTGCTAAAGCCCAAGGTGATGTCTCTAAATGTCTTGTTTTATCCAACCAAAGATAACAATCATCATTTTACTATCACACAGACAAAGAAAAGCAGAAAATCCAAACAGATTGAAAAGCTGAAAACAATGTGATGCTTGAAAGAGGATTAATCCATTATCAAAATAGTCTGCTGATTTATTAATCGACTAAATACTTCAGCTCTGGACCATTCATACATTAAAAATGCGTACTTTATGTTCTGAACTTGTAAACACAGTGATCTCATTCCCAACCAGTGAAAAGCACCGAGCTGGAGTTCAGGTTTTGAAAAATGACTGCAGGCAGCTGCTGACCTACTGGGGTCATTCGAGTTGCTCCATTCACAACATAAACCAAACCCTCATGTTGGACAATAGACAGCTACATTAATGACCTGATATGAAAGGACTTTAATTGTTGTCACAACACTGCTGAAAAGGTCGGTCATTTTAAACTGGAGGGAAAATGGCATCATTTGTCAGATATAAGAGGTCTGGCAATCAGCACTTGGACAGCGAACAACAGGGTACAAACTGAAAAATAATAAAGTATGTCATGGTAACACTTGCCAAATACAAACAGACTGCAAAGAGGAACAGCAGTCACAAGCTGAAACCAGCCAACAGCTTTCTCAGATGTAAACAGTGCAGAAAAAAAGACAACTGGCATGAAACTTAATATCTACCTTGGTAACAGTTTCCTCTGCTGATTTAGTCACTTAAAATCTAAAGTCCTTAAAGTCCTGATATTATTTCATCCAAAGCCTCTCACATGTCCATACACAGAGAGACCATTTTCCATAATGAAATTTAAAAAAAAATCCACTTGATTAAAATGGTGTGCAGACAAGATCAAGCTTATAAATGCAGTAAGGACCTACCAATCACAGAGTGTGTGGTTTATAACAGACCGACACAGAGGTTGTGGGGGCTGGCATGTCCCAGTTTGCACCAACTCATGCATTCATCGCCCCCAGATGACAACAAATACCCCCATCAGAGCATGCACAAGAGTTAAAAAATTATGTCAGTTTTTCAATATATTAAACAAATCTACACTGACTAATTGTGGTGTGATCTGCAGTTACTTTGTTTACATGTACAAAACGGCAAATCGTTTTTAAATGGCACTCACAGTGGCAGGATCCGCTCCAGTTCCTGCCGGTCACCAAGGACGCTCCGAACGACCGCTGGAGTCCTCCTACACCGGACAGGAGTCCCTTCTCCGGCCCGAGCCCCGGGGGTCTGTGGTAGTAGTCCATGCTCAGGAAAGAGCCGGGGCTGGGGCTGCTGCGGCTGGGGCTGGGACTCAAACCCACAACATCCACGCTTTCGTACATCACCCGAGAGACGGTTGTCGCGTCTGAATCCTTTGTACCAAATAGAGAAGAAAAAGAAAATCAAAAAAATCAAAGCGTCCTAAACGGCGAAGAGAGGGAAAAAGAGGAAGGGAGGGAGTTCACATCTTCGTAACAGACTGACGGGAGGAGGTGGAGAGGAGAGACAGAGATGACCTGTCCTGGTGACCTTTCAGCCCTTGGAGGAACACAGGCAGTTTACTGTCAAACGAAACCGTCTTTCTAACAGTTCAATGCCACAGGTGTCACAAACTTCACCGTTGTGTTGCTGGAGCAGCAGCCCTCGTTACTTTGAAACAGCGGATTTAAACGAGCGCAAACACCAAAAAGAAAGCATGTAACATTACACTACTACACCGACACACATGCGGCGTGTGTTACGCTCGAGTTCAAACTGACCTCGACTTGTATCCTACACTGTCCCTGTGTTGGTTTTACACTCGTCCTGCGTCGGTAACGTTAGCAGCTTTTCCGCTGAAGGCTATTTTTACAGTGGCTAAAATGTATTATGCAATTGTCATATCGTTTGCTAATCATTGTAGCCGGGCAGAGGAACGGTCCTTTTCGCTGACAGTCTCTTTAATGTCGCAACAACCAGCGCTGCTTGTCTTAAATCCATACATGCTGTGAATGACTCTGGCTGTAGTGGCTGACACCGAAAAGTAAAAAGGTCCGGTCGGTGGAAAGGCGCTGCTCCGGTCGCTCCGGTTCCAAACGTTTCACCGGAGAAAACTGACTCATTAATGCAGTCGTGTATGACTTTGAAGTTGCTGCCGTGTGTCCAAGAAACAAGAGTATCCAAAAGGTAAAACAGGCGGCGGTAGGGAAGTCGAGGAGGTGTCCGAGTTTGGGTTTGTGTACCTCTTGCTGCTATTGTTGAGGTCCAGCAACGGCACAGGCAGCAGTGTCCTGTGGTAACCTCCGATCTGCACCCGACGGCCTCTCTCTCCCTCTCTCTCCCTCTCTCTCCCTCTCTCTCTCTCTCTCTCTCTCTCTGTGGTTTGATGAGTGACACCAGCTGCACACGAGCTCCACCTACCTGCCTTGCGCGAGCTAAAACTGTGCGCAGCTAAAACAATTTCTACTGCCTGCTATCACTACTAGTGGTAATAATAATAATAATAATAATAATAATAATAATAATAATAATAATAATAATTACCAACTACTACTTTTATAAGTTAATGTTAATTTCTGTAGTTTTGTGCTACCATACACATTCCTGTGTACTTGTACAGTCCATTACCTTTACAGACTTACCTGTATATGACATACAGCTTTGGGATGTAACTAAGAACATTTACTCAGGCCTTGTACTTAATACAGTTTTGAGGTACTTTGAGAGCTTTGAGTATTTCCATTTTATGGGAAGTTGCACTTCTACCACAATTCAAATATTTTTTTTTTTTTTTTTACAAATGTAGTGTACCCTGCCCTCAACCAATGTCAGCTGGGATTTGTTCCAGCAACCCTGTGAGGATAAGCAGTATAGCTAATGGATGGATCGATGTATGGATAAGAAGAAATATTACAACGAAAGAAACAGTTAAATAGCATTAAATTACCTGGTTTCCCTTTTACCTTTCTACCTCTTTTTACCATTTCATTATTTCAAAATTTTCCTCCCTTTCCCTGGTTTCCTGCTCTAATGTAACTTGACTGATTTATAGAAGCTTGCAAAGTGTTTGTATGTGCTTTCAAAATAATGTATTTTTGTATTTTACACATTCAGATGCAGAGAAGCATAGATTTTAACATATCCAATATCCTCTTATTAGACATATCTAGTAACACACAAACACACACACACACACACACACACACACACACACACACACACGCACACACACACACACACTCACACTCACACACACACACCCTTTCAATAAGTGAGCATATGTCCTTGCCATGAGGCCTCCGTGTATTGATTAGCTGCTACTCAAAATGTGACATCACATTCATTGCTACCTGCTAATTGATACAGGACATTAAATCTATGAAAACCACAGAGGCAGGGGTGAGGTGAAAATGGTTTTGGGGGGTGGGGGGGTGGTTTAGCAACAAAGGGAGAGCAGGGGGAGGATGAAGATGGAGATGATGATGAGCTTTTTTTTAGTGGGTTAAATGCAAATAAGCAGCAGCAGCTCACACTGATGAAGAAAAGATGACTACACCAAAAACATTTTCTATAAGAAAAGATATTCAAATGAAAGAACCTGGAAAACCTTGTCATATTTACTGTAAATAAATGCAATCTTGAGCTTATTATTTTAAAACACTGATCATAAATGGCTCCTCCTTCAGTCTGTTTCACTGTGAGTAAGAAAAGTGAACTGAAGTAAAGTGAATCTGGAGTGACAGCTTGGTGGATCTGCCCACCGCTGGTCAGTATGACAGAGATAGGAGCATTCATGGCGACCTTTCTGCTCGTGTTTCTCCCCTCTCTGGGCTACAGGCAAGCACTCAAGCAAACATGCCCAGGTGTCATTCAAGCCAGGCTTCCCCTGTTTTTCAAACTGCAATTGTCATTTTAATAAAAACACTTGGACTCGGTAAATATTCTTTGCCCTCCTCTTCCCCGTTCTCATTTAGGTAAACAGCACCCCTCTAAGTGATGTGGGAATGTGTGATGAAACTGTGGTGGCTGTGAGCTATATGTAGTCTGATCTCACGTCTCTGAGGAGGCCAGGTCGGAGAAAAAAAGAATGATTAACCGCATTAATCAGATAATGCTGCCATCATGCCACTGCCAAACTGTGATTAGTCAGGACTATACCAAGGGAAGCTGCCCTCTGGCTTCTGTATTGATTTTTAAAATTCTTTTCGTCCTGATCTGTGAGGCACTTTGACCTGCGCAAACCTGTATGAAAAGTGCTATACAAATAAAGTTTGATTGATTGATTGATTAAGACATGCCCTTATTCATCACCTGAGGCCATGTAAAATCAGTTTTAAAGGCCATTATTGATAATAATGATGTTTTGCTGACATGGTGCATACACCTAAAATAATTTGTGCCTAATCAACACTTGCACTAGTGTTCACATTGGCACACAGAGGTGGAGGAACGGGGGGTTTAGGGGATTAACAGCTCATCTTTTGTGGTGGTGGGGCACCCAACCATTAATCCAGCCACGTGCCTCCACACCCAGCTCTGGTTGTTCCCTCAAACTAAAGTTGCTCATGTAAATAGATGGGACACACAAGATTTTTGACATTCAACACGAAAATACATCTAAAAGAGCTCCAACTCAAGCAGTAACAGAAATCCATAGAAATCCATCTTTGCACCATCTATTCAATACTGTATGTACAAGTACAGGGAAAGAAGTGCATTGGAGGTGTATAGTAAGTGCTAGTTTGGCATGAAGAGATTCTTAAAGGTGCTCTGATAATCCTCTAGCTTGAAAATGTTTACATGTGTCAGTGCTTTTTCCTTGTAAAGTTCAAATATCATCTGTCAGAGGTGGTTTTATCGATAAATGTTGTTTTACTATTTCGTGCAAACTGTCAAGAGAAAGTAAAACAGAGAGGACAGGAGAAACAAGAAAAGAGGGAGAGAGAAACTTAGGAGAGGAGAGACATAGCGAGGAAAGTCAGGCGGGATGGGTAGAGGAGCGGAGATCAAAGGCAGGATCCTGCTGATGGAGACACTGATAGTAACTGTCTCGCTTCCATTATTCATCAGACAGCTGTGGTGTAAGTAGGTTAAACTTCTCAGAGAGGCAGAGGGAGAGAGAGAGAGATGAGGTAAAGGAGACAGGGATATAGACAGACTGGAGCAGAGGTATAATGAGAGAAATAAAGGAGGATTGACAGAAAAGATAACTCACATGCAGTGACAAAAAACAGGACAGAGAAGGGTGAGAGACAACGAGAGAGACTGGTACGAAGAGAGAGAGAGAGAGGGAGGGAGAGAGGCGGAGGAAAGACGAGAAATGTAAAAATAGAGACAAAAGCTGTAACAGACAGAGAGGGGAAAGTGGTGAAGAGACAGTAAACAAACACGATTAGACAACATTGTGATTCTATGCGCCTGAGGAAAAACAGAGAAGAAAACATATGCACACACATGCATGTATAGAGGCTTTTATGGTTGACATCACACATAGTTTACGGCACAGAAACAATCACGCAATGTTGGAAGGAGGCAGAACATTCGTGGCTCACATTTGCACGCAAAGCACATGTATGCTACTGTATGCTGTACATGTCATGTAACTTGACTTGTTTGTGCATTTACAGTGTGTTATTGTTCCATTTGTGTTTGATGTCACCCGGGGCCTTGTGTTAGCTGAACCCTGGTGAACTACAGAGAGGTTCAAGGTAGTATAGGAGACCCTGTCCTACATAGTGTGACTGTAAGGCCGCGTTCAGACTGACATTTGCGGTAACTTTCTGGAACCGACAATCCGACAAACAAGCCATCTTCGAGCAGCAATTAGTCAGGTGTGAACAAAATAAAAGTGTTTTTTACTGGAACACGCTTGAATGACTTCACCATGTGCAGCCCACCCAATCAAGTCTCGTTTTACAGTATGTGGTGGAATTTAAATCCATGGTCTCATATTGTACAAATGTGGATTTCCATGTCTATTTTGATTATTAAGCAAACTTACCATACCTGGGCCACATACTTGTTTTCTCCGGGCCCAGTATACGCCCGGGTCTACGGCCCGAATCTGGCCCATATACAGCACGATGAGCTACTTCCACATCTGGACCAATCCTGACCTATACAGAAATATTCTGGCCTATGACAGATAACAACTAACAGCCACAATCCGCCCCAGGTGTGGAGGGGCAAGACTTGGGCAGAAGTTTCATTTTGTTAACTGGGAATTTTAAACACCTCTGAGTTTTAAGCCTCTCTGATGATAATTTTCTTTTATCTCTGATAAAAAGTATATCCAGACCTGTATCACAGAAAACCAAACAACATCAGGAGTCCAACTTTGGAGAAGACAGAGAACAATTCAATTCAAAAAATGCACAGTGAAACGTTTCACATCACTATAAACACACGTACTTCTTACATTTGTATGAAACATTTGTATGAAAAAGAAATCAACCATCTTCCTGTTGATGTTTGTACTGTGTCATGCACAGACCAGCCCCTCCTTTTGTTTGTATGGTAATATTTATAGCGTTTTATATGTGTGAAAGGACGTGTCTCTTCAGAATTTTTATTCATCGGTACATTAGCTGCTTCTTGCTGAAGGGAGAGTTCCACTGTTACTGTGTTGCTGCAAACAACAGGACGGCACAGAATCACGTGTCATGTGTCACAGCCATACATCTATGGCGCCGTTATCAAAAATATCTCTCTATCTATAGCACACGATGCTCCTCCGGTGTTTGTGAGGGGGTGTGTGTGTGTGTGTGTGTGTGTGCGTGTGCGTGTGCGTGTGCGTGCGCTTGTGCGTGTGCTTGTGCGTGTGTGTTCTGCGCTGCTGCTGCTGCTGCTGCTGGTGTCATCATTATTTACGGGTCAGTGAGAGGCAAAAATCCCAGATGCAGAAAGTGCATCGTACAACACGGAGCTTCAGCTGAGCTTTAAACTTTAATGAACCTGAACAGAGAGATAAAGGTTAACATCTCGTGACACAATCCAGGGGTGATTTGGATTTGTATCAAGAGCAAATTGGCGAGCTTCTTTAGTTGTTGTCTACATACACTCAGTTGGTAGGTACACCTAGCTAAAAGTTAATGCAGTTTACAATATCAGCCCTGCAATAAAGTTATAATGTTCAGTTTATGTTGAAACAGTTTGAGAGAGGTGTTGATGAAACCTTATGATCATTTTGGAGGCTGCAGTTTATGGTTTATGGTCTTGGGGCTGGAGCTGCCGCTGACTGTTTGAATAGCGAGCGAGGTCTGGTGACATTGAAAATGGGACAGGAACGAAGGA